TCATAAAAAAAAACAACTGCTAGAACACACAAAATGTGTAAACTTAAAAGTTCAGAATATTTAAAGAACCAATTAATTTTAAATTAATGCCAACCTCGCTCATTAGCAGTTTAAAAAAATATAAAAGTCAACCAAGACATTAAATGTTTTGTTGGCAAGCCAACAGAGACACAACCTTGCAAAGTCGTTTTGTAGTTTAATAAGAACAATTACGGTATTGCAAGATAATATATAAATGGTTTGAAATGTTGCCAAGGAATGTGGAAAAACACGTGCACTCCAATCGCAGTGAAAGGTTGCTCATACATTTAAACAGTAAAAGGGAGATTTGAAATTGGAATTGATACTTGGAGGATTCGTGTTCTCCACCAAAAATGCACATCACACAAAACTGTGCAATAATAAAATGTTCACGACGCATCAAAATTAGCGCCACATTGAGGCTTTGCTCCCATGTGTCAAATGTTAAAGCGGCCACAAGCTAGTGGCACTAAGCCAAATCACTCTGCAGGAAAGCAGCAATGGCAACAGCACATGTCCTGGCTTGTCCACTGGTTGTCTGCAGTGGGATGTCTGCCTTAATATAGGCTTTTTACCCAACTCTAAATCACCGTGCTAAACCTATCTCTGCTATTACTAAAATGCTGCTTCCAGCTTCACGAAATGTGCAATACCTGCCACAAAAGTTATTGGCTGCGGTGGCAACTTCCAGGAATTGTGGTTTCCTGTACAATTACTGTGCTGAGCCTACAGATGCTAATTCCACAACATCCACGGTTGTAAGCCATGAAATAATGTGTACTTTCGCAACGAACCTGATGTCCAGACTTCGACTCCAGGCCACGGCTAATATCAGTGGCGAGTGAATATCTGGACTGGTCCTCGACCACAATACTCTCCCTTCACCATTGAAAACTCATTGGTGTGGTGAAGTATAGTCAAACCCCTGCCATGACCAGCACAGCGTGGAGGCGGTCCTTCATCCAGCAGTGAATTCATGTTTAGGCAGTTATTCACATCAGCATACAACACTGAATTTTATTTGTAGAAAAAGCTTACAAAAGCATGAGGGGAGTTAATTTGGGAACAGCACGCAAACCACCACTTTCTCAGGCTTTGCTCGTAAAATATAGTGCAACTGACAGGTGGCATTCAACCGTGTGTACGTAAGACTACACATATATGGATTATGGTGAAAATAATTAATCAATATATTCTCCATGGTCTTGTGCAGCCCCGAGGCATCCTGCAAACGAAATCCTGTTTACGTTCGGAAATAGGAGCCCATTTCCCTGCCACGTTCACACAGCTTGCCACATTTCCTTCCCTTCTTAATAACCCATTTGGGAAATGTTTGGGGGGGGGGGGGGGGGGGGAGGGTCCCCTTTGCACGCCAAAAGATCCCGGTGCAGAAAGTTTTACGAGAGCTGCAAGGATTTAAGGATCAACGAACACTGTGTGTGTGTGTGAAATTAGCCGCAGTCACTCAAGTGTGCACAGCCAGATGCTAAGCGCGACGATGCATGTTGCCTGCAAGCAATATGACCGAGACTATCAATTACAGCACAGTACGTCGCATGTCCGATCGCTGGATATTCCCCTTGACCAATTAACCGCCCATACCCAGCGCAGCATTTGTGCACGGTGTCACAATCATTTTCTATGAACATTCAAAAGAAATGACCTTTTCACACGCGATAATTCATTCTTGAATCTTTTTTTTTAAAATAGATATTGGCTTGTTTCCAAAGAACAGTAATGCGTTCTCCCTTTTTTAGAGCGGTTTGCGCTTTGTCTAGTTGCCTATTTGCATATGGTGAAATTATCATTTGACAGATGTTAACATCTGACCTTTTCACAAATCCACGCGTACCTCACCCCCCAGCGAGTTGGATATGCGACATTGTACTGTACCTGTAAATCACCGTTATAGCCATGCTATTCTTGCGAATGGCAATTTGTTCGGAAGCTAAATGCCAATGTCGAGGTCTGCTAGCCATGAGGGCTTGAGAAGAGAGTTCATTTGATTTTGCTATTCCTCCATATTAGTTAAATCGAATACCGGTAAGAATCCACCCATTTTTTCGCCATATAGCATCGTGATATATAACGACTTATTGTTGGTAGCTCAGCTGATTGGAGAATATAGAGTTTATTGATAACATTGAGGTAGTTTATATTTTAGTTTTTGTATCTGTTTACTATATGGTATTCATTATATAGTGTAGTGTATACCCAGTTGCTGTTAATAGCTCTGCTTATTGAAGAATATATTGAGTACATTTATTATATTGATGTAATTTAGACTTAGGTTTTTTCACATCGGTTTACTGTATGATAGTTGAGTTGTTGCAGCCCCTTTGGCGTCCATGTACGAGGTGCCTCTGTGGATGTGTAGGCTTTGACTTTAACATAGCTATTTCTGTGACCAGTCACAAGCTAATCTCTCAACTGTTACAATGCTAAATTCTCCTGTTTGATATGTAAACCCCTTTGTCAAGGTGCCTCACTTCTCTCAAACAGCTTAAAAGACGCTGCGAATCTTAGCAGCGTTCATTGTAGCTTTGTCGTCCCGACAGGTCTGTTCCTTTCACCTGAAGAAGGCCACTTGTGTTGTGGCCGAAACGTCGTGAGAATTTTATTGTTTTATTTTATTATTTTATTCTCATTCTACGTGACTTTACCGAAAGAACCAAATAAGATTTCACACTGTAGTTCTAATTTGTGGTTTAAGGTTAATGTTGTGGTAATTTGAGACAAAATTCTGGCAAAACAAACGTTGCAATTATACTTTTCATCTAAAATATATTTAAGGTACCAACATTCAAGCATAGCAAAGCAACACACACAAACGTAAATTTATTCAGGCAGACAAAATAAAAAGTTAACAAAAGGATCTTGACTAAAAGCTTTTGTCACTGCAGGAATTCATATTCCTTGGGTATTTCGGTAAAGCCACGCAGATATAAGAAATAATAAAAATAACAATATCACGACGTTTCCATCGCAACACAAACAATCGTCATCAGGTGTTGTCCTGCTGCTTCGGTTCCCCCTGATGACAGTTGCTTGTGTTGCGATCGAAACGTCGTTATTTATTTTATTTCTACCTACGTGACTTCACCGAAAGAACCAAAGAGTATCAATGTAAGAAAATTGCTTGTTCTCTCCGAGCTTACATTTACAAGCAAATTTATTACATTGACATGCTAATCTCTCACAATACAACGGCCACCCCCACAGCTTCGTTTGTCAGGATTTACCCGATCTTACATTTACATGCAAATTTCATCTCTAGCCCCCACCCACTGACCATTGGGCTACACCCATCTCAAATCTTTATAACTCCCTGACTTAGCAGCGTTCCCGAGATATATTACTTCCTGCCCAAGCAGCTCTCCCGCTATATTTTTCACCTGATGACGATTGCTTGTGATGCAAATTGAAACGTCGTGAGATTGTTATTATTTTTTCTATCTACGTGGTTTTACCGAAATACCCAAATAATATTAACACTAGGATCATTACCACAATTCGCATAATAAATTCCACACTGTGTAAGTCAAAAACGAAGCACTCACAATCAAGCAATGCATTTATGGTTGTGCATCTATGAGAACAGGATACTAATGTACGGATCATTGTACTATTACGAAATTACTTCAATATACTACGCGTTCTTACATAAATTTTTATTAAAACGTCAATGGTAATTGTTTGGACAATACAGGACCCCAATACCCTAATAATCTGCATCTTACCACACTATTGAACCCACATTTCCCAAAATCCTTGGTACTTTTAATCCTGAAACTTGAAAAAAAAATTGCGCATTTCTGGATATCTTCCGAGAGCCACAAATTCCTCCCCATAAAACGTGGCACACCGCACTAGCGGCGTCAACATATTTACAAATTCGTTAGACATTCATTGTATTATTTTAATATACATTAATTTACATGTCTTTGCATGGCAAATAGTCTGTTTCTTTGAAATTGGAGCTCTGGTAGGTCTTTGAATTTAGGGGTTACAGAGATGTAGAGGGAAATGCGGTATTTTAAAAATAAATTGTGTGTAAACCATGATCTGTAGTAAGTGGGCTGGGCGAACACAGGGTTGCAGTGAAACGCCAAAGCAATATATTAATTTACCAATGTTTTTGTTTTCATCAGTGCATATAGCTATGGTGATGTGATTTGTTGAGTCGAGAATCATTTTTCATTTTGTACATTTGGATATCAAGTCTAAAATGAAGTCCAAAGACTCTTTAAACACAGAGCCACACTGGCAGATGAATTTGCTGGTAGTTACGTGCCTGTGCTTACCCTGCAATCTGCACTTTTCTTTGAGGATGAATGAAATCTCGAATATTGAGCGTTTTACACAACTACCCTCTGCAGTGCGTTGTGGATGATGGGATCCCAGACATGCTGCCCCCATATCACCGTTGATTAAGTCCCGCTGTACATGGTAACAAAATATTGACTCTTAACTTGCCATACTAAAAAAAACAGCAGATAAATATATGGTATTTAACAAACAAAAAAACTATTCAGAACATTCAATACGCAAAAAGTCAAGTCACAGCATGTCCCTGCACAAATAAGCAATAAGAATGTGATTACATGTGCTGGCAAATCTGTGCCAGTGCCTGATATTTCAAATTCCCATAGAGGAAAAGTCTCTCTACCTAGGGCAACCACGGCTCACGTAAACTAAAGTGGAACCTACTTTATCGACCCTGATGGTCTGATGAGATAAGCTAACAACCAAAGATGTTTTAAAAGGCAAACACTCGAACCACTGCATGACCCAAAGGATAAATAAAATTACAAAAGTAATCATTTTAAACGCGTATCCTTTGCATTGAAAATAAACATGCATTTGACCCAAAATAGCTATCCCTTTAACTTATAAATGATAGACAATAAATACACATTGACACAAAAGTGTAGGTTTTTGTAAAACAGCGACAATAAAAAAAGACTGAGAATAAACAGTTCAACAGAAAACAAGCCATTGTATTTGTCACTCATCTACATGGCATACAAAACGTTACCGAACACATAGCTATACAGAGCTGTAACCCATTAACACAAACAAAAAATGGAACTAATATTCTTTGGGTCTTTCGGTAAAGTCACGTAGATAGGTTCAAAGAAAATGACAAAAAACTACGACGTTTCGATCGCAACACAAGCGGTCGAAACGTCGTAGTTTTTTGTTATTTTCTTTGAACCTATCTACGCGACTTTATCGAAAGACCCAAGGAAAATGAATTCCTGGAGTCACGAAAGCTTTAAGTCAAAATATGGAACGTTAATCATTAAGGTTGCCGCAAATGCGGTGCTCATTTAAAAAAAAATATTACCTGCCATTAGATTTTTGGAATAATCAAGTCAAAGCTGTAAATAGCTATTTACTTACTCTATTAAGTGTTTTCAGCCGTAAGACTATGCATAATTACTACATTTACCATTTAGTAATTATTTTGATTATATAACATTTTTTTTTAGTAAATGACAGCATGAAAGACATAGCAGGCCAATTTTAGAAAGACGTGCAGACTTAAGTTGAATGAACTGCAGTTGAATAAACAAGATGTAACCTTATTCACACTTGAAGCACAACAACAAAAAAACCATACAAATGTGAAATACCGTTATGAATTTATGGGAACTAATTTGTGATAATGGTCACAGCGTAAAATCTGATTTCGTACCGTATTGTGAAAATGTATAGCATGGCAACCCTATGATTATTTAAAGTTTCCATGTTACATTTCAATACACTGTACAGTGAATTTATGACAAAAACTTACAGAATGGTATACAAATTGCAAAACTAAAAAAAACATTTTTTTTCCTAAATTTTATTGTAGATTTACTGAGCTTTGTACTAACTTTAGCACAAGTAAAACGACTCACAGATGTTGCACATCCAGAAATATAAGCTTAGTATCAGAAAGTTTACAACGTACAGCAACTCTGAAGGATGGCAAAGCTCAGATTAATTCAGGTCTGCATGATGTCAAATATCATATACATCTTCAAGGAATTAAAATGTGCACTGTTGCTCGAGTCTATGTATGGAATGGAAACGTCTTTGTAAGTTTACATTTCTTTCCGTGTTTTTTGTGTGTTAAACTGCATAAATATAAGTGTGTTGTTAACCCGCCACCACCCAGCACAGCCAATTTGTCACGTAAACAAAACATACCAGTTAGTTACTACTTCAGCACACGACGTTTCACTGGTTATTACAACCAGCTTCATCGCCGGTGTGCTGAAGTAGTAACTAATTGGCACGTTTTGTTCACGTGACAAACCTTTTACTAATTGGGTGCGTCGGTGGGTAGCGGGTTTAACGACACAATCATTTATATTTACAAAATCTAACCCAAAAAACCTTTAAGGATATTGGTTTGCGAAAGTCTACGTGTTAAACTTACATTGCTGACAAAAATGTAGATTATCGCGTTGCTACACACAAAGTAAACATACAATTAAGCCATTCTGCACACAAATGTCAGATCTTACCACAACCAGCTTGGCTGATATTCCCTTCCAAACCGAGCAAACAATGAAGTAGATGGCTAGACGCGCATGCCACCTATTGGTATGAATGGATCAATGCAGTTAGCCGAATGTTGGAATGTTTTACATGCACGTTTTGTACAAGTCCATACTAAATCATGAACACAAATTGAAGCAAAAGCAGAAGGCAAAAGCCCAAGAGAACCATGTGAGAGAAAAACTAAACTTCACATGGCCCTCGCTAATTCTCTGTTAATGGGACCAAACACCTGCCATTGCCATCAATTACTCCATAAAGTTTTATATTGCATGAATATGCAATATGGCTACTGTACCCCTTGTTTAATTTTGTTTCAACCGAGTACCCCCTTGCCCGACCCAAAATGGTTCTAAAAAATAAAAGTATTATCGATGAAAAAAAATATTGTCATCAATTACCAATTTTGTGAGGTATCCTATCTAGTAACTGCAAGCGAATAAAAAGCTCTGCATGCGTGACGTAATGTTTGCACTCGCTGGTTACTCTTAGAAACCACATTGTTTACGATCAATGAGTTCAGATAGCTATTTCATATCGTTCGAGGTTACCATACGGATTTTAATGTTATCGTAGTTATTTTATACTGGCAGATTCATACATGATTATTCACCAATGACTCTCATGTACGATCAAATTTCACACATTTATAAATCACCTCGCGTACCCCCTGGGACATTACCACGTGTACCCCCAGGGTCCGCACATACCCCTGGCTGAGAACCACTGAAATAGATAACTGCTATTTTCAGCTTTAATCATTGACTTTGTTATACAAAAGGTTATGCGAGAGAATATGAATCGATTGGCGGTGACCCGGAGGTGCCAAAACCTCCATAACTCCGAAACCAGAAGGTCTATGAAGACGGGAGATGTCAGTGAGCCCGATACGCAACGCCAAATATGGAAATAAAAAACAAATGCAAAACACCCATAAACAAGGGGGGCTGCTGGGGATTTGTGCGTGGCAACGGCTGTTTATTGCTTGTTTTGAAAGTACACCAGGATGCTGGTCTGGTCATTCCCCAGCACGTTCTGCTTCTCACGGGGGCGGCCACCCCCCTTGTCTTTGTCGCTTGGTACGGCCGGCGGTCACGGTCGTGCTGGCGGGATCGACATCGTCGTCGTCATCGCTCCCAGCGTCACCCTCCGGCAGGACAGGATAGTACCAGCGATGCTCCCAGAAAAAAAACGTAAACTATGCCCGGCCCACCAATATTTTGCGGTGACCCGGGCTACCGGCAATCGATTCATATATATGAAAAAATCTTTAAAAATGTCCTTGATTGCTCTCCCATCTTAATCACAAATTTATGACAAGCTAACGATTCTGTATAACCTCACTTGCAATTTTATTTCACAGTGTCGTCTGTTTGCATATCGGTACAATAGCCACCCAAATCAGTTTAAAATATCTGACTTAATATTGTGATTATAGTTTGACCAGTAGAAAAATTATCTGCCCAAGCTATGTTGGTGCACCAACTTAGATGTATTAAGCGACAGTTATTTCTGCCAATTACTATTTTGCTTCATTGTTGTACTTTTTAGTTTTTTTTCATGTAGTCATTTTGGTGACCCAGTTCACTCTTGCCAATGAGACATCATTGTCTCTTGAGCATTTTCATCTGTTTAAACATAACCAACTTAAGAGGGATGAGAAAGCACGCTAAAAGTGCGCACTGACTTGGTCAGGTGGACGAGTCTAAGCTTAGAATTAGTCCAGTATTTCGGGACCAAACAAGTTGAGCACAAATTCCACCGGACACTCCAAAATGTTCCCAACCTGGTGGTGCAGTAATTCCCAGTGCCCCCCTAGTGGGGGGCTCTTTTTGCCGCAGCGTGCTCCTTGCGATGAGACTTCCAAGCTGCCACTGCAACGACAACCAACAAACACCTCGAGCCTAAAACGTTTCACTACAAATACTGAGTGGGGGTGAAATTTGAAACCGCATCCGGTTGGAAGCACGTTTTGTTCTAATGCGTAGTTATTCACGGTTGTGCTGTATAGCTATCTCCCGTGCACTGTTAGTTTGTGCCGCATGTTGTATGTTTAACGTCTTTCGCACCGTACATAGCCAAACATGCTAATCAGAGGTGCGGGAGAAAGATAACATGTTGTCCTGACAAAGCATGTGGAGCGAATCGTTGGACATCGTGCCGAACACCAAGTGGCGCAATGCAAAAACACATTGGAGAGCTATAGCGGACAACCACATAACCTACGCAGGGGAGCGATTACTGCTCCCAACCGGACTTGGGTTTCACATTTTACCTCTCTCAATATTTCTAGCGAAGCACTTTAGACTTAATTAATGAACATTAATTCTAGTTAAACACTCTAATCAACATTTTGACTACATGACTCTCATTGGGAGGGAGGGGAGGAGGGGGGGTTATTAACTTCCTAATAACCAGCATCTACATTTCACCTAACGTCATTTTAAATGTTTTCCCCACAGGGGATCAACCAAAATGGTAAACAGTGAAATTGTAATGATTTCAGGCGTATTCACGCGCACTCGCGATGCAACATTTGGCAGAGACGACGGTAAATATTATCGTGTTCAAAATCATATTTGCACTTTTTTTCACCTCAAGGGAAATTTTTCTCAAGTTTACAGCACAACAAATTGCCACTGAAAACAACCATCATTCACACAGCAGCATCAAGGTTACCTTGACATTCACGGCTGCAGTAGTACTTGGGCTCATTCCAATGTTCATCGTAGCACCTACAGCGACAGAAACCCAAGTCAAGACTTACATTGTGGATTTATAGAAATGAAAACAATTTCAGATGAAGCACTACCAACGACTTAAATTGTATTCCATTAAAACACACACACACTTTAACATGCTTCAGCAGACCATAACATTCAATGGGTAATTCGAGCTAATGTAAGTAGCTTTAGAGAGCTGTGCAACATCATGTGCATTGTGTGCATTGATAAGAGTTATGTTTATTAACATGTATTACCTCTGGCATTTCTTAAACAGTTTAGGCTTTGGTTCCATGACTTTACATTGGTCACATTGTCGCTGCTTGGCCTTTTTGTTTCCGTGTTCTGTTGGTTAATGTAAGAAAAATGACAAATACACATACAGTGAAACCTTGGATTGCGAGTAATTTGGTCTGCGAGTGTTTTGCAAGACGAGCTAAATTTTTAAATAAATATTAATTTCATAAACGAGCAATGTCTTGCAATACGAGCAGTACGTGCAGTATACGCTTTGTCTGCCGAGCGTCACGTGATCAGAGCTGAGCCAATGGTTCTTCTCTCTCTCTCTCTCTGGGGGATTGTGGGTAATCTCCCATGCTCGGTCTCAGTCGGCGTGCCTCACTCGTATAGTCAACATCCGTGCGAGCGTATGTTTACTACAGTACTATAGTGTTGTGACCACGTGTGTACTGTTTACTACAGTATAGTGTTGTGACCACGTGTATACTGTTTACTACAGTACTATAGTGTTGTGACCACGTGTATACTGTTTACTACAGTATAGTGTTGTGACCACGTGTATACTGGTTACTACAGTATATTGTTGTGACCACGTGTATACTGTTTACTACAGTATAGTGTTGTGACCACGTGTGTGTGCGTAAAGCATTTTTTTATTTTGTGTCCCAGTGTAGTGACTGTTCTTAAGTAACTGCACTGCAAGTGAAAGTCGTCCTACACAATAACCCTCCTCCTCCTCTCTCGTCTCCCTCACACCAGCCACGATTAAGCGTAATTAATAAATTTGATTATTTTTATTAAATTTAAATAAAAAATAAAGTGATTTTGTATTAATAATTTTTATATGAATACAGTATTTTTGGGAATAATCTGAGTTTTCATTATTTTTTATGGGGAAATTCGCTTTGATATACGACTGCTTTGGATTACGAGCACTTTTCCGGAATGAATTATGCTCGCAATCCAAGGTTTCACTGTATTTACTTGTATTACATATCACGATGTAAATTTTAATGTCCTACTATGGCTGAAATGCTTAAATGTCACAAATGTAGTCGAGTCTATGCCTGTAACTACAAACATCCAAAGTATATTGACCTGGAGTGCAATAACCGGAATAGGATGTCTTGTTGACAAAACAGAAATAACACAAAATATTATATATTTGTTCTACAAAGGACAATGATGCAGTTGATTACATGCATAGAATGAGGACCTTATTGTGAACAATGAAGCCTGCATATGCTTTTTAAGTTGTATTTCTTGACCTTTGATATAATGGAAAGGTTAAGAGGTAGTGTTTTTTTGCACTGAAGATCTAATAAACGACTCATAAAAACAGAGATGGGAAGGAGTTGTTCACATACTGCACTATGAACCAGGCAAACGGAGTTAAATTTCCAGCCAGACCTAACATGAGAATGATCATCTCAACCAGTCCTAGGCCCCTGCTTTCACCATCTCACACTGATTTAGCATGAAGTATAGTTATCATCCAGTGCGATGATAATGAGCTGCATGTTATTATTATTATAATTCAGACAGTGGGAAATGTCCTGAAATGACAATCAACAGCCACTACGACTTAAAATATGCATCACAAATTAGCGATGTGACAATATTTTCCCTTCCCTGCATAACATAAAAAAACCATCAGTGATTGAATGTTACTAAACTAGACAAGATTGATGCCATCAATGCAATAACGTCAACACCACCTGTGCAATATGGTTTCCTTACAATGTTTAAAAGCACAAGCAGTAGAGGTGGGCTGTCAGATTTACCATTGCAGGAGCACTTTCATTTGACAATAGCACAATTTGCATTTCCATGCTTCATTGACAGCCCTCCCAGTTTGTTTTGAAGCTTTTGATGGCCCCGCCACTTACCATCCACGGCAGGTGCATCAGATGTGTTGGTAGAAGCTTCTGACTTGGCAGAGCTGGGCTATAAGAGAATGTGACATCAGATGTGTGCGCACCTTTTTTTATTCATTACGTTTCACATAATTTTACATCCGTAGCTACATCAAGATTGTTCTTGTAAATTTAGCTATGTTAAAATATTGACTAGTCCAGTTCAAATAGTTTGATTATAAAAGAGATAAAATTATCCTCAAATCAGATGCAGAACTGGCAGTGACCTTTATAATATACCTTGAAGCAATGCATATCTAATTATTAAACATGTCATGACAATACAAAATGCATATTTGGCAAAAATCGTTTAATTGAACTGTATGTTTTGACTACTGGCTTCGCTCACAGTAGCCAAATAAGCCTCCCAGTGATGTAGAAACTAATTACCAGGGCTAAAGATTAACCTGCTAATTTGCCCAACATGTAATCTTTATTTTGTACAATCTGTGTACTTGGAAAAATCACGTGTGGCCTTCGTGGATCATGATAAATAAATAAATATATTCGATCACGTAAAATATTTCAAAATATGAAAGTTCTCTGGCTAGTGGGGCTTCAGGACCAATAATGTCTCATTACCCATGATGCACCAAGACAGTACATTATGCATTTGCGAAATGGTCCAATGGTGTTCGCAGATGCCACTTGCTTTTACAACCAAGCAACTCAAATATATTTAACAAGCCACACACTACTGATGAGATTAAGAATAAAACAGACATAAGGATTGCCTTGCCAAAACAACTGTTAGAATATACTGGTCTTTTTTGTTGTGTATTGCACATTAATGCATTATATTGTATTTATTCTCGAGTTATACAAGGAATGATGGCCAACCATCTTCCAATAAAATAGTAGTGTAAGATGATGCTTCTTCAGTGGTGATGTGGAAAAAGCACAAAGATTCAATACCTCCCTCTCCCTTGCTGTTGATGCCTCGTTGAAGGTATTCATGCCAGCAAGCTTCCCAACCATCTTCTCCACCAGGGATGCAACTGAAAATACAATGGTCGTACCAAGCATTCACAATTCAATCTGGGCTGCGACACAGCCTAGCAATGGAGCGTTTGCAGCTTGTCATGGAGGCTTACGGTTCAAGTTCAGTGACCATCGATCATTAATACGGTGTGTTTTAACCATAATAACAATACATGCCGTTTGCTTCAAAGTGTACGTTAAACATCCTCAGACGTCATTCAAAAGAGTGGCCCATTGTATGCCCGCGTAAGGCCCAAAATTTGACAAATTACTCAGTTGGGATTATGCCTAACAATCATCTCCCCCTACTTGCAGAATTATGCCACAGGGCTCTCTTGAAAATGAGACTCATCCTGGTCCCTTGAGTTATCACCTGGTTAAACAACAGCAACTGGAAACACATTGATAATGTGAGGCTTGAAGATGTATTATTTGTAAAGCTTTTATAAAATTACGGAAAGTAAATAACACATTACATAAAATTGTTGCAAATGGTGTTATTACATTATAGTATTAAAATCAATGGTACTTGACTCAACTATATTGATATTTAATATTTAATTTATATTCCCCTTTGTTCAAGCTGGAAACCCCACTAGAAGGGAAAGTACAGCATATTGTTTCCTTTTAAAAGGAGCTCAATATTTGTCTCGGTATGTGAATACATCCACATATAAAATGTAAGTATTCCTGAACATTAAATGCATCTCAATATATCAGTCCATGAATTAATACAGGTGTCTCGCTCAACAAGCGATATACATTTTGTTAAAATGTATCGGTAAGCGAAAACTCATTAAACAATCGTCATTTTCTCATTGACTCCCACGTTAAAAGCTGAGCTACATTTAAGTTCCAAAATCTTTCACTCTTGACCAACATTTTTAAGGTGAGAAATACAAATGACGTATAATTTTAAAATAGAGTAATAAACTATCAAATGTAACACTTACCACACATGAATAACCAATGCATGATCCCCTGTACTGCCGTAACATACTGTTGGGGCAAGTGCTATCAGCGAGCACCTATGAAGGCCGGTAACAGCACGAGGGGTGGGTGGCCAGCACCATGCCCCGCCGCCTTTGTGTCCCTAGTGGCGATTTTTACACACCAGGTACTCGTATGAGGCGGAGTCAACATAGGGGAGGACCAGGACCAATCCAGATCGATGTCACTGGTGTTAGCCGTGAGCAGGATCCGAACTCGGGTCGCTGCGTTTGTAGCGCCGTATACGGACCGTTACATCGCGCACGAATCGTTAACACCCATTAGTGCCACCACGAGGTTCCCTTCCACCACATAACGAAACACATGCGCACTCAGCATAGGACAACTGGTAAACAAACAGCACGGTGGATGCGCGTCGCATATCTATCGATCGGTCTCCACTCAATAAGCAAACATTTTGCTCGTTTTTCAAACAAATTGCTCTAAATTAAAATAGCTCGTTATAGCGAATCCTCGTAGAAAGAATGCTCGTTAAGCATGACACGCATGTGCACGTCAATGTAAACATATATTCACGCATGGACAGAAACGGTTATGCGAATGTAAAAAAGCCAAGTTGTTAAACCTGCTGAATACCACGTGAGAAAAGGGAGCGTGTCACTTTGCCTACTCTCACTGTCAACACTAACCTTCAGCTCTGTTGCTTTTCCGTATGTCACTGCCATCTCTGCACTGGCAAAAAATGCTGCTGCTGCTGTCACAGTGGCACTCCGTGGCATCTTTAAAACACCAGCAAACATGATCTTCCTCTGACAGTATATCCTCCACCACCTGTCGCACTGCACACGAGACAATTAATTGGTCATAATATTCATAATTAATTGGTACCGATATTGTCATTGTAAATTAAATGCACATTGTCAGTAAAAATATACAAATAATGGTATATTCCAGCAATTGACTGCTCATGCCAATGCTAGCAGAAGGGATTTCACTGTTGCCATTCTACTGTTGTTTTATATTTTGTTCTGTCACCTGCATTGATAGGAAACTTTAACAATTGTGACAAAACCTACACAAAACACATTTTGAGAGGCTCACTTGGAAGGTCTTGATCTATATGATAATCTTTTTACACCTGGAAGACCATAAATAATAATCAATATGTATATAAAAGCTTAACATTTTTGCTTGCCATTCAACAGATTAATAAAACGTGGTAGTTGTATACTAAAGGTGTAAATGAATCGCCCACCACCACAATTCAATGAACAGAACTGTCACAATTCAGTCAACATTAGATTCAATACTCGATTTTCTAATCAGCTGTGGTGAATAAAGCAGCATCTCGTGGTTGGCAGGATCCTATAAACTCCTTGCATAGAACGTATACAAATACAAAAAAACCTTCACTTGTACACAGACGATGACATGCACGTTTGGAGAGCTTAAAAAAAATCGATACTTATAAAATAAATACATCATTGCACCCTTATTGGACACAAGTCTTTACAACAATGAGACAAGACCCTTCCAGCAAGGCCTGCGATTATCAGGCCTTGCTAAGACCCCACGTAAATGTGAGGAGGTGCTGGCCACTCACTAACATCCTCGGGGGTTCTATTTCGCAGTCTGGCCTCACGGTTCAGGTCTTCCTCCACAATTGCGTCAAAATTCTTTCTCTTGGCCAACTTCAAGAAGTCCTTCAGAACCCCCTTCACCAAATAGGAATCTGTTGCAGTCGTCTTTGAGGCATTTTCCTGAGGGATGGAAAAAAGACACAAGGCAACAAAGCTACACTCGCGGGGCCTTTGAGCATAGGCTGCATTTAAGATAATTAAAAGTACGCGTTAATAATATTAAAGTAGGCTCACATGACATTGACTTCTCCAAGACAGAGGTTCTCTGCAAGCCATCTGACTACCATGAGAGATTCGTTCATGAGGCTATCCACATATACAAACACAGAGACAATTTCAGCCGAGACGATGGATTCTGGCTGAGCAATCATTGAAAGGCTTTGATAAACCATTTCGGGTCTTAATTGATTGTTCACGCTTACGGTGGCTTTCAGACCGCATCCATTATTTTCGTCTTCCCCCTCCTCTTTTCCGAACATAGATGGACTCGTCCATCTGAATAACTGCCAAATCGCTCTCCGTGGTGCTAACGTAAAAAAAACGCCACTTTTTTCAAATTTTTTTGCTGTGGTTTTCACACCTGATGATGATTGCTTGTGTTGCGGTCGAAACGTCGTGAGAATTTTATTGTTTTATATTTTTATTATTTTATTGTTTCCCTTCTACGTGACTTTACCGAAAGAACCAAGAATATGAATCCCTGCAGTCACGAAAGCTTTAAATCAAAAATATTAAAGTGGTTTTCAGTAACAGTCCATAAGCCACTATCTAAAATCAATTTTGCACTATTGTTCAATCATTCTGTATCAATATAAGTAAATTATAATTAAGATGTACAGCCCATTGTGAATCCACTGCTCAATGTGATCCGCCAACACGTTTTGGTCATACTTTATCATGCTGGTCAGCGCGGATTGGTGAAGCGTTATCCTTAGATACATTTTGGATACTAATTTGCAACGGATGCCAGCCATGGCTGTGAATCAATATCCCTCGGTTCATACGACAGAGACAACTATTATGCCACTACTCGATAGTTAATTTGTATATTTATTAATGCTATGTGCCCCGATTCAATTGCCATGGAACCATGGGTATGCGGCACTATATATGTAGAAATAAATGCATAAACAATGACTCAGAATTGACAAGTGAAATTATCCCATAAAAAAAACATCTAGCTGTAAACACAAACCTTTACAAAGTTATAACAATAAAGGCTAAAATACACGTTTATATTATAAAGATGTTTGCTTTATAAAACAAACCTATTCAGTTTCTTTGTAACTCGAGAAATGTTGCCAACTGAGATGGAGCAGATGGGTTCTCATTTTACTATACAAGCTGCAATGATGGCATATTCTATTGTCAGCATAGATTTTAGCAGGGGTAATTAGTTTACGATACATGACAGACATATTGAGCCTCATGCAGCCTTTCTGCTGTATTTATTTCATGCAATACCATTAGTTTGGGACATTACAATCAAGAACATGTTGCTGCTCATTCAAGCTTACCTTAACATGTTTTGCCGTAGGCTCACTTCCATCGCTATTCGCTCCAGACAGCTTCACGTCTTCCTTTTTTGTTTCCGTTGTTCTCGTATCTGAAAAAACACGGAATTCCACAAAAATGCACTTTAAAAAAAGTCACATTTAAATTTCATACTAGAAAATCATATAGTTGGTGGTGTCTTTTAGGCTACCAATAGTCCTTTAATTTTTAAGATTGCATAAGCCATATTGACTTTGTGTGTACAAATTAATCTGTGACCTCAAGGGCCACAACTTAAAAGGCTCCACATCTGGAACACGCTTATGTATTGAATACTATTTTATGTTAATGCACAAATGTTTAAAATCAAGCACTTAACTCATATTACCTTTAGGTATTGGAGTGTACAAAGAGTAATTGGTAGTTGTGGTGGCAGCCTTGGTAGTGTTTTGCTGGGAAAACTGTGTCTCTTGGCCAGTGTGTAAATCTTCCTTTGAAGGATCATCTGAACTTTCTTGCTTCGATTTCGACTTGGATTTTTTATTTCTTTTGGGAATATTTAAAGGACCGTCTGACATTTTTATAGAGTCCGTGTCCATGCCATACTTCATAACAAACTCTGGTGACCAATATGACTCATCTGAGCTGTCACATTTCTCTGCCTCGATCCAATACCTCAGGCAGTTGCACACCGACTTTCCAAATTGAATAAATAGTGGAGACACGAAGCACATCTGCAGAGAGTAGAGTAGAAAGCATTGTATTGAAGTCTGGGCGTACCAGAAAGAAACTTCATGAATATTGTGAGCAAGGTTAGATAAAAGCCATATGCGCAGAAGAGGCATACATACCGTCTCAAGAGTCAAAGGGGCACCTGGAGAACCAAATAGATTTCTAAACGTTTCCCTGTAACATAGAGAAATGTGTTTATTACAGCAATTTACGCTTCTAATACGTACACTCATAGGAAAATTACGGTTATTTCAATATACGGCATTCCACATTAAACTGCTGGATGAAGGTCTCTCCTAAGCGATGTTGTCCATTGGGGTTGACTATACTTCACGGTGGTCAGTGCGGGTTAGAGAAGTGGGGCTTTGACCAGTTCAGATAGCACTCACTGCTGACGTTAGCCATGGCTGGGAATTCAAATCAAGCAGCTGGGATCATAGCAGTGTGCTCCCTATTGTGCCACTGGTCCAATTCCAAGTTATACAAACCCTTTTAGAATGAGTTGTTTAAGGAACTATAAAAAAAATTAAAGTTTGAAAGCATTAAATGTTATCAAACAAGATTCAATATTCAATGGTTAAAAATGGGGAAAGATGTTTAAACTACAAATACAAAAAAATGCACAACTTTCACCAAAAGCATTCTTAAAGGTTTTTAGAGACGACATATTTCTGATGTTAACCCTCATACAAGGTCAGCAGCTTATTTGAACTGCATGGACACTACTGATAATGCATTGCAAGTCAACCTTGGATGTAACAAAGTGCTTCACAATCAGAATAAGAGGGCATATATTGAAAAGTTATGCAGATGAAACAAGGACAACAGTTACAGTATTACTGAAGTAAATTTCATAAGCCCAAATTTATGTAGCCAACGCAAATACACAATTAAGTGAACAAAACAATGTTCGCTTGGACTCACCTAGTTTCTTTCATATAAAAAGGATCCCAGGCTGTTGATAAAAAGAAAATCAGAATGACCTTACATTTTTAAAAAATAAAAAATATATATTTGTACGTGCCAGCTATAAACCTGTCCATGGTTTTTATTTTATTTTACTCAGGTATGTTTTTATTGAAAAGAAACATAAAATATATTTACAGAGAGATCCTGCATTATGATGCTGGGCCAATTCCACGTATAAGTGTTTGGTATGTGAGAAAATCCACACTTGAGAAGGGACAACAGTCAGAGCTATGTACAAATATTTTAAATCCACAAATAGATCCCACTCTCAATGAACTCCTGTGTATGTATACTGAACACAGTGGTGTGCTGCCATCATCTGGCGACATCGCATATAAATATTTCAGAAAATACAGGTAGTCCTCTACTTACGATGTAGATGCGTTACGACGACCCCATCGTAAGTCAAAAATATCGTAAGTCGAAGATGGCCTAGCCTACCCACGAGTCTTAAAGAATGGTGATAATTTAGCAAAACAGAGCACTTTACAGTACCGTACTGTATAAACTATATACTGTATGTATTTATTCATTACAATACTGTATTGCACAGTAAAATGTAAAGTAAAAAAAGGTAAATTCTTAGCCTACCTAATGAACTGCAATTTACGATAAAGTTTTTTCAGGAAACAATCCTATCTGCTATAAAAAAAACAACGTGCAGTATCGTACCTCGTACGCTGCTGCGTTTGCCTGCCGCGCAAAATTTTAAATATTTTACAATTCTGTCGTATTGCTATCGCCATCGTAAGATCGAAATGTCGTAACTCGGACCATCGTAAGTCGGGGACTATCTGTAGTTGTAGCTCAGGTGCAAAAATAAACAATATTACAGTAATGCATTTCTAGTTACCAGCATCAGAGCAGCTCATTTACAGCTGTATGATTCTTATTCAATACTTAATTTTCAATGTAACAGTGTACAGTGAATGCAGGACAAATGCATCTCAGCCTTACCCACTGAACCACCAGTACAATTAACAGCCAAGTGTCTGTTTTTAGCAACGTTGAAAACGTCCTCCATATATCTCCTTGCATTTGAATATCGATCTGTAAATTAACAAAATCAACAATATTTAATTGACTTTTACACTTTTCGTATTTTAAATCAAATACGGTACAAAAATGCAAAACGGTCAAATGTAGGCAATGTACACTCAAAAATAATGAATCGCTACCTCATGATTAGTACGAAAATACATTTAAACAAAATGAGCACGTGTCCAAAACAGATATGTTCATAATGTAACAGCTGAACTGCCATATCTCACCTTGACAATACTGTGCCTCTATGTAAGTACAGCCATATAGGAAATAAGCAGTAACTTCACCTGCCTGCAAAAAAAAACCACACGTACATGTTAAACACTCTATACTTTATAAAACAGTTGTTTAGCTTCAAATAACTTTACAAATAATAGCGAATTACCGTGTTATAAAAAAAATGGTTCGAAGTATCAATTGTAGATATTCTAAAACACTCTTTGAAAGTCAAATGTGAGCACACAAAGTCAAGAAATACTGATGCAACGATTTATTTATAAAACACTCATTAAAAAGTTACAAAATGATCTAATATCCAACCGCATCTTTACATACACCTGTTCGTTTATTATGGAGAATACAAACTTGTCTATATACAATCGATGTATTTAGTGGATACAAAAAATAGACTTGTGCACGCAGAAGGGCGAAGGCACTGAAATGTCGATGCTTGGCTTACTATTTGTGGACATAGGTCTTCACAAAATGTCCGGAATCCCAAAAGAAATCTTTTCCAAAACCTGTTCCCCTGCAATAACATTTCAGTGATGACCATATGAGATGTTTACTGGTAAGATACACATGCCCACAAAGGGCAGTACCTGTTTTCAAATGGAGCTGCTCAACAAAGTGAGAGTTTGAAAGAAAAAAAAAATCACATTGCAGGTGTTTATATTAAAACAGAAATGTTAAACTTAACATTTTTTAAAACTTAGCGAAACATACATTTGACTGCTTTGAGTTATTTAATAACTTTAAATGTGTACACAATCTTACTGCCATGCAGAGAACAGTTTAAAAGCCCATGCCACCGTTTAACTATCTCAAACAAGTATCATATTACATTATCAGACCTCCTTTGCCAGTAACAAGATATAGTAATAGGTTTTACCCTTTTAACTGGCACAAAAAACTGACACCTTTATTCAAGGCATCATGTTTGCAATAACCACAACACAAGCAGTCAAAATGCAAACAAAAAAGACAACTGATAATAAGGACAGTGCATATTATCAGAGTTGTCTTTGTTTGCATTTTGACTGCTTGTATTGTGTTTATTGCAAACATGATGCCCTGAATAAAAGTGTCAGTTTTTTGTGCCAGTTAAAAGGGTAAAACCTATTCCTATAAGTATCATATTAAGCCATCTCACAGTAGGTTTCATTGCCTTGTTCCCCATACATGTTTGTCTGTAATTTTTTTTATTGAGATGTGACTATGAGAATGCATGCTAGTTTAAATATAAAAATGTAATTACTTGGGACAAAAAATAGAAGTAAAAAAAACACAATGTAAATCTATATACGGCCATGTCAGAAAGTCAGTATTACCTGTTCATGCCACATTCTTTTAAACACATCCCTGTGCTTGTGAAAAAACAAAACATCATTGGTGTCCATATCTCCCTCATACAAATAGATGGAATTCGGACCAAGAATAATCTTCCTCATGATGCTTTTCGCCAACAATCTTCTGCTGAAAAAGAAACGTCACATATTTGCAGATAAGTCTCAGAAAGTGGAAACCGGTCTAGAGTTTGCATGCTTAAACATTGGTGCAAGGCAAAAAAACCAGTGGTCTTTAAACATGACGTACGCACAGTAACTATCATCAGCAAATGTTAAATCAAATTCTGAATGGCTATTTCCCATGGTCCTGCGATGTATAATCTCCCGAGCACACAAGGTGATTGCATTGTTCCATCTCCTCGGTGTACCGCTCTCATTCGTTATATTCCTTCAATGCCACTACAGATTCCAGTGTGCCTACCATAGCTGCCCTAAGTACATAAACTATGCTTGTCTTGTCAAGTTGTGCCGCTCTGACAGATGATCTACAATTTTTTTGCGAACTTGTGGTACGTGACCTTTGCTCAAATGTATCCTGTGCCTTCTAATAAACTCAAGTTTTTCTAACATTTCCTCGCAGTGAATTCCCAATTCTTGGAACATATTTCGCTAACCGTAGCGAAGGGAATTTCACATTGTAATACTCCCCCTCTTAATATTTATCCAGGCACTTTAAACATGTGACCTTAGTATGGCCGTTCCGTTTTTGTAAATGTGTTTCTAAACATTCTTTCTAAAATGCGTCGTACATAAGCCTCGGTTTGTGAGAGGCGCATGGATGATTTACATCAGTGATGCCAATGCTGTATACGTACGCGTACACAGCATTGGCATCATTAAAGGCCCGTCAATGGCGCATCATTAAAGGGCCGTCAATATCGACGCGCTGAGAACCGCGAGTGCCACGAAGACGATTGACTTAAGTCGGTAAATACAAACGTAGACGGTAAATACAATGGGGAAAAAAAATCCAACACGACGCGGCCAGTGACAAAAAAAGTGTACCACGTTCAACACGTAGATAACTAAGACAAATCCTGGAAGAATGTGGTTACAGCACCAGCACGTTCAACATTCGCAGGCCTGGCCAGACTGGACAAGTCCCACGCACCACGGCTCCGGAACTCTCCCGTCGACTCCCGAGGAAGCTGAACAACATCAACCGACTCGCGCCAGCGACGACCTTCGAGACTGCGAAGATAGAGACAGGACGTACGACGACGGAACCATGAGTGGCGTTCGCGTACTTCGCGTTGGGCGTTAAGACGCGCGGCGACTTGAGCTAGCCGACTCCACAGCGGGCCCTCTCGAGGAGAGGCTCTGTCGAGACGCGGCTCGCTCATTGGCCCGCGCGTGGCGTGAGTCGGCTGGGTGACGTCACCCAGCCACGACGACGCGAACGAGTTAGAGGGGTGGGGTGGAGGGGGTGGGGTGGAGGGGTTGGGTGGAGGGTTTGGGTGGAGGGGTGGGGTGGAGGGGTGGAGGGGTGGAGGGGTGGGGTGGAGGGGTTGGGTGGAGGGGTGGGGTGGAGGGGTTGGGTGGAGGGGTTGGGTGGAGGGGTGGGGTGGAGGGGTTGGGTGGAGGGGTTGGGTGGAGGGGTGGAGTGGAGGGGTGGGGTGGAGGGGTGGAGGGGTGGAGGGGTGGGGTGGAGGGGTGGGGTGGTGGGGTGGAGGGGTTGGGTGGAGGGGTGGGGTGGTGGGGTGGAGGGGTTGGGTGGAGGGGTGGAGGGGTGGGGTGGAGGGGTGGGGTGAAGGGGTTGGGTGGAGGGGTTGGGTGGAGGGGTGGGGTGGAGGGGTGGAGGGGTTGGGTGGAGGGGTGGAGGGGTGGGGTGGAGGGGTGGGGTGAAGGGGTTGGGTGGAGGGGTTGGGTGGAGGGGTGGGGTGGTGGGGTGGAGGGGTTGGGTGGAGGGGTGGAGGGGTGGGGTGGAGGGGTGGGGTGAAGGGGTTGGGTGGAGGGGTTGGGTGGAGGGGTGGAGTGGAGGGGTGGGGTGGAGGGGTGGAGGGGTGGGGTGGAGGGGTTGGGTGGTGGGGTGGAGGGGTGGAGGGGTTGGGTGGAGGGGTGGGGTGGAGGGGTTGGGTGGAGGGGTGGGGTGTAGGGGTTGGGTGGAGGGGTGGAGGGGTTGGGTGGAGGGGTGGGGTGGAGGGGTGGAGGGGTGGAGGGGTTGGGTGGAGGGGTGGAGGGGTTGGGTGGAGGGGTGGAGTGGAGGGGTGGGGTGGAGGGGTGGAGGGGTGGAGGGGTTGGGTGGTGGGGTGGAGGGGTGGAGGGGTTGGGTGGTGGGGTGGAGGGGTGGAGGGGTTGGGTGGAGGGGTGGGGTGGAGGGGTGGAGGGGTTGGGTGGAGGGGTGGAGGGGTGGGGTGGAGGGGTGGGGTGAAGGGGTTGGGTGGAGGGGTTGGGTGGAGGGGTGGAGTGGAGGGGTGGGGTGGAGGGGTGGAGGGGTGGAGGGGTTGGGTGGTGGGGTGGAGGGGTGGAGGGGTTGGGTGGAGGGGTGGGGTGGAGGGGTTGGGTGGAGGGGTTGGGTGGAGGGGTTGGGTGGAGGGGTGGAGGGGTGGAGGGGTTGGGTGGAGGGGTGGGGTGGAGGGGTGGAGGGGTGGAGGGGTGGAGGGGTTGGGTGGAGGGGTGGAGGGGTTGGGTGGAGGGGTGGGGTGGAGGGGTTGGGTGGAGGGGTGGAGGGGTGGAGGGGTTGGGTGGAGGGGTGGAGTGGAGGGGTGGGGTGGAGGGGTGGAGGGGTGGGGTGGAGGGGTTGGGTGGTGGGGTGGAGGGGTGGAGGGGTTGGGTGGTGGGGTGGAGGGGTGGAGGGGTTGGGTGGAGGGGTGGGGTGGAGGGGTTGGGTGGAGGGGTGGGGTGGAGGGGTGGAGGGGTTGGGTGGAGGGGTGGAGGGGTGGAGTGGAGGGGTTGGGTGGTGGGGTGGAGGGGTGGGGTGGAGGGCTGGAGGGGTGGGGTGGAGGGGTGGGGTAGAGGGGTGGGTGGGGTAGAGGGGTGGACGAGTGGGTGAAGTGCATCAAGCGTCATACGACGTTGATTACACTGTAACACAATTTGTTTGTTCCTGGGTAGTGTTATTACCTGATTGCTTATGCCTCAAAAGTTCATAAAAATGGCTGTTATTCCCCACAAACTTTGCTTTTGTGACCAGGACAGTGATATTTTGAAATGTACCTATTTTCCAAAACATTCCAGATCGATTCAGTGCCGAGTAAACTTGGAGTAACTTCTAGAACATTCTAGAACTTTCCAGTAATATAAATAGTAGTGTAAATACAGGAGTCTTAAGCCTACCAGTTCAGTTCAGTTCCAGCTGCCTAAGTGGATACATACCTGCATTTTTCTGAGATGGCATCAAGAGGCTGCAAGCATCCGGCAGACGCATTTTGCTTTGTCTGGGGCCAAATTATCAAGACAAGAGCGAAAAAGTACTCTGTGGAAGCAGAGTAGATGTGTGAGGCCTACAAGGCATATTTCAGCATGCCTGTCGGGGATCAAGACAAACCCTGGGCACCTCATTTCACCCGCGAGCAATGCAAACAAAACTCTGGAGGGTAAGATGGACAATTGTTGCTCGGAATTTTATGTTATAAATTTTGTAAACATTTGTAAAATTGTTGAAGTTTTTTTTTAAATTTGAAAATGTTTTACAATTTTCAATGATATTGAAAATATATATATCATATATGAAAAATGTTGCGAGAATCTCTTACACATTAGTCATGGGTGAAATAAATGTATTTTTGTAGGTTGGTACAGAGGGGAAAAGAGAGCCATGAAGTTCGCTATCCCAAGAATTTGGCAGGAACCCACTGACCACTCAGGCAACTGCTACTTCTACATGGTGGGCCCTTCCAAACGTCAGACTGACAAGAATGCACCTGCTATCAGTATCCGGACATTCCTTCATCCATCGCGCCAGTGCCACACTGCCATGAGCTCCCCGTACCCACTCCTCCGGAGAGAGAGCAGCTGTCTTTAGAAGGGAGCAGCAAGTCAGAGAGCGATTAAGATGTCGTAGATCCAGATGTCAATTTCAGAGGTGGAGCGGAGGAGAGAAACCCATACTACCCCAACCAAAAAGACTTCAACGACTTGATCAGAGATCTTGGTCTCACCAAGTCTAATGCTGAGCTTTTGACGTCTAGGGTCAAGCAGTGGAACTTTTTGGATAAAAGTGTGCAAGTTGCAGATCAGAGGAAGCGTTACCAACCTTTTTGCAGCTTCTTCACCCATCAAGATGGGCTCTGCTTCTGCCACAATGTTGACCAGTCTCTTCGAGGCAATCGGAATCGCCTGTAACCATAATGAGTGGCGCCTCTTCATTGACAGCTCATCCAGGAGCCTCAGAACCGTGCTGCTCCATAATGGTAACAAGTACCCGTCTCTTCCCCTGGCTTACTCGGTGCACCTCAAAGAGGGTTACAACAGCATCTAGACCTTGCTGGATGCCTTGAAATATGATGAGTATGGCTGGCAGGTCATAAGAGACTTCAAAATGGTGGCATTCCTGATGGGTCTCCAAGGGGGTTTTACCAGTTTTTCCTGCTTAGCTTTGCCTTTGGAACAGCAGGGACACCAAGGCGCACTACCACAAGCGGGACTGGCCACAGCTGACCGAGTTCTCTGTGGGGAGGAACAACGTCAAGTAGGAGCCACTAGTGGACCCCCGGAAGGTGTTGATGCCACCACTGCACATCAAATTGGGCCTTATGAAACAATTTGTCAGAGCTGTAGATAAGGAGTCGGCAGCCTTTAAGTACCTTCAAGACTTCTTCCCTTAGCTGTCTGAGGCAAAGGTGAAAGCCAGTGTCTTCGTCGGACCACAGATAAAGAAGATCCTGGAGTGCAATTAATTCCCCAAGAAGCTCACTAGTAAGGAGAAAGCGGCTTGGAACAGCTTTGTCGCAGTGGTTTGTGGCTTCCTGGGCAATCACATGGTCACAAACTATGTGGAGCTGAATTTTGATTTAAAGCTTTCGTGACTGCAGGGATTCATATATTGTTTCCCTTCTACGTGACTTTGCCGAAAGAACCAAGAATATGTGGAGCTGGTTGAGACTGGTGAAGAACTACGGCACAATTGGCTGTAGGATGTCCCTTTAAGTCCATATCCTTGAAGCTCATCTTGATTATGCAAGGAGAACATGGGAGTGTACTCGGAGGAGAAAGGCGAGCGCTTCCACCAGGATATACTGGACTTTGAACTCCGCTACCAAGGACAGTATAACGATAACATGATGGGAGACTACATATGGGGGCTGATTCGTGAAAGTGATTTACAGTATAATCGTAAATCTCGAACAACTACTCACTTCTAAATCTTTTGTAGTCATTTTTTCTAATACTTTAGTATAAATACATGTTGATTTTGATTAATATGTTTTTTTTCTGACTTTTTGTGAACGAAAAGACACAATTTCGCCCGTTTTATCATTGAAAATAGGTGAATTTCAAAATATCACTGTCCTGGTCACAAAAGCAAAGTTTGTGGGGAATAATAGCCATTGTCTATACTTTTCAGGCATTATCAATTGCGAAATAACACTTACTACCCAGGAACAAAAATGTTGTTACATAATGTTACCATATAACTAACCCAACCGGCAATGGATACCCATTGTCATTTAAATGCATTCATTAATCCCCCCGCCCCTCACTTCGCTCAAGAAGTGGCTCACAAGTGATGTCCATCACAGTTAACACTTCTATTTAAGGAACAAAACAGGATTTCTCTACCAATCTGGCCGTTGCCTGATGAAGCTAGTTGTAACTACTAGAATTAGTAAAGTGAATGAATGGACGAGTGAGTAAACGGGTGAGGTGATGAGTGAGTGAATGGGCAAGAGAATGAGTTGGTTAATGAGCGAGTGAATTGCATAAGACAGGGCCGTATTATCCAATAGGCCACATTAGGCGCTGTGCCTAGGGCCTAAACAACTTAAGTGCCTCCTAAAAAATGTACCATGTTGTTGTTTGTATGATAAAAAAATGTAACCAAAATATATTCTTGAAAAAATATATTTATATAGCAAGGATAGGGCCAGTGGTATATACAAAGAGGCAGAGTCATGTCAATGACAATCTTTTTTTCATTGCAAAATTCTCAATAACATCTTCAAATGAAGTTTTTTTTCCTGACAATATTATTCTCAATAAAGAGTAGTGCAAGGGTTGTAGCCAATATTTTCATGGAAAGTTTTGAGTTGGACGCCATCCAGGCATCCACTCTACGCCCGTCCTTGTGGAAGAGGTACGTGGATGACACGTTTGTCATCTGGCCACATGGCCGACTAGCTCTGAACCAATTCCTCAACAACATCAATTCCATACACCCAGCAATCAAATTCACCATGGAGGTAGAAAAGGATGGCAGGCTACCTTTCTTGGATATCCTAATCAAAAGAGACCAGATGGCTCAATAAGCCATTCTGTCTACATGAAAGTAACCCATACTTACGCCTACCTAAAACCTGATTCCCACCACCATCCATCTTAGAAGAATTCCCGCATCAAAACGCTACATCATAGAGCTAAATGTATCTCTGACCATGAACACCTAACCAGTGAACTCAAACACGTACACCAAGCTCTCAAGGCGAATGGATACTCGTGAGGAAGGAGCCATCTGAGGATCCAATCAAAACCATCACCTTGCCATACAGAGCAGGGGTAACCAAAAATATTTCCCAAATCATTAACAAACGCAAGATCAAGGTCCGATTTAACACAGTACATAAAATTCGTGATCTGATCCCATCTGTGAAGGACAAGATTCCTGACATGCAATATCCCGGCGTCTACAAACTAAGCTGTATCTGCAGCAGCAGTTACATTGGGGAAACTAAACGACATGTCTCGGACCGTGTTCGTGAGTATAAGGCAGATTTGAAACACGGCAGGACCAATACCTCTGCCGTGGCTGATCATTATTTTAATGCGGCTGGCTCATACGAAATAGATTTCTCTAAGACTATGGTACGTTGCAAGCCTACTGGCTATCAATAAAGATTCGTTCATGAAGCCATCCATATATACAGACACAATTTCAACCGAGAGGTTGGTTATAAACTCAGCAATCATTGGAAATATGTCATCGACCACTTTTGGGTCATGACTTGATTTGTGTTTTCTTGTCAACCTCCACCGTCAGCAGTGTGGGTGTGTGGAGCGAGGTGCAATGATTGCCTGGAGGCCCTTTGATTGGTGTAGTTGCTTGTTTTATACCTACATTAACATTACCTGCCCCATCCATGCTGCTGACACACTTGGGCTACGCCCATCTCTAAACCTTTATAAACAGTTTGCCTTTAGAGGCTAACCCCCCTTTTCCTGACGACGACTGCTTGTTTTGCGATTGAAACGTCGTGTTTTTTTTATTACTGAAAGAACCAATAATAATTCTACATTATAGACTGCCAGTACGCTCACTCAGTTTAATAACCATTGATACAGTCCACATTACAGACTGACAATACGCTCACCAGCTTAAAAACCAGGCTACAGTCTACATTATAGACTGCCAGTACACTCACCAAACTTAATAACCAGGCGACAGTCTACATTATAGATTGCCAGTCCACTCACTCCGATTAAGAACCAGGCTACATATTCTTAGCTCTTTCGGTAAAGTCACGTTGAAGGGAAACAATAAAATAATAAAATATATTGGCTACAACCCTTGTATTATATATATTTTATTGTTTCCCTTCAACGTGACTTTACCGAAAGAGCTAAGAATATGAATTACTGCAGTCACGAAAGCTTTAAATCAAAACCAGGCTACAGTCTACATTAGTGTTGTTTTATTATTTTAGTTTTATTAATGTTATTTTTTAAATTGTTTTTTCGATCTACGTGACTTTACCGAAAGAACCAAAGAATATTAATTCTTGCAGTCACGAGGTGGGGGGGAGGGGTGAGATGGGTGGGGGGGCTCAAGGTGGGGGCAGCTGGCCCAGTGTGACGTCACCGCCCACCGCACGCGTCACTGAGCGAGTCATGGCCGCCTGCGTGCCCCGCGACTCACGGCGTCTCCCCGCGCTCTGCGCGACCCTCCTCGCGGTGGTTCTGCTCTCCTCCCGAGGCTCCTCCGCCTTCTCCCTCCTGCCGAGGACTTCACCGGGAGGACACAATGGCTCCTCCGTGGTCCCGCTGGTCATGTGGCACGGCATGGGTATGTGTCGTGTGTGTGTGCGTTGTGTTTATTTGCGTAATGGGGAGCGGTGGTGCAGCGGTTAGCGCGACGCTGCGACAAGAACCCGGCGAACCCGAGTTCGAGTCACGCTCACGGCCAACAGCGGTGACGATTGTCTGAACCGGTCCTTGGCCTCCCACTCGGTGCGGTGTGTAGTAAACATCGCCACTGGGGAGACAAAGGCGGACCTACAGTCACGTGGCTATCGCGGAGGTTGTTGTGTGTGTGCACTTCCTGGCGAATTGCAGCGAGTAGTAATTTGACTGCTATGCAGCCTATTGTTTAATGAAGCGTGGCCGAAAGCGAATTCCCTTTAGAACCGCTCATTGTGTCCTTCCCCTGCACCTCTGATAAGCGCGGTTGGCTTCGTACGGTGCGAAAGAAGTTCAACATACAGTAACAGTGCGGTAGGAGAATAGCTAATGTACACGGTAGAATACGGTGGATTATAATGTATTTATACACGGGTGTTCCATCATTTGAGACATGCAGTCCCATATGCCCTTCCATGGTGTACTGTGTGTACAGCATATGTTCTTTGTATATGTTGCCCTATTCTCAGTTTCTGGTATAAAGTACTGTATTCACATATTTATGTACCGTCTGCCATTTGTCAGTGTATGGTAATGCTGTGTGTGCATGTTGTTTGTACACTGCAGAGTATACTCCGTGTCAGGATGTGTATTGTCGTTATCCAATATGGTTTTCCGAGTCTGATGCAGCAGTGTGCAGACGGTGTATTCTTTATTAATGGTATTCTTAAGTCGTATGGTATGCTGTGGTGTACGGTATATAACTGCGTGTGATAACCACATTACTGTGTTTCGTAAAACATGTTGCAGATTACAACACCGTGAACTGCTGAATGATAAATAATGAGGGCTGTTGTTGGATGATGGGTGCAGGCTGCAATGTTAGCTGCGTCAGGGTGGTGTTACTTGGAAAGCCCCTTGTAACTGTAGTGATGTGGGCGAACCTCGTGACTGGCTGGCAGAGCACAGAGAAAATTCTACGGTTAAAAAGCAGAACCTGAATCATGAACAGGGACTTTCCATTGTAATGCCCAGTACAATGAGCATCCATCCCATTGCCACCAACAAAGGAATGCTAAATTCTGTAGGCAAATGAGAATTTTAAGACTGGGTGTATGGCTTTGTCCCACGCTGAATGTATGTAATATTCATAAGGCAAACAGTTTGTCTTTGTGTGTCTTTGTGTGTGTCTCTCTCTCTGCATGTGTGTCTGCCTATGCTGTTTTCGTGTCTGTGTTTTATCATTCAGTCTTACCTGATGATGGTTGCTTGTGTTGCAACCGAAACGTCGTGTTCTATTATTATTTGGTTTTATTTTCTACGTGACTTTACCGAAAGAACCAAAGAGTAATTCCTGCAGGCACGAAAGCTTCGAATCCAGTTTCAACTCTTCTTGTTCCATTCGCTGTTGCGTCCAGTCCCAGTAGCTTTGTTTTGAACGTTATCCAACTGGGTTTGGAAGCCTTAAATGCATTAGCCGTGCCCAATCTATCTTTATGTCAGTGTAACAGGGAGTCTGGGTGACTCTTGTAAAGATGACCCGGTGTACACAAAACTTTAGTGTAACAATTGTGTTGCTATATTCTTAGTTTTTTCGGTAAAGTCACGTTGAAGAGAAACAACAAAATAAATGTATGCGAACCAACACACCTGAAGACGACCGTTTGAGTTATGGTCGAAACGTCGTGAGAATTTTTGTTATTGTTTTATATATATTTTATTATTTTGTTGTTTCTCTTCAACGTGACTTTACCGAAAAAACTAAGAATATGAATTACTGCAGTCACGAAAGCTTTAAATCAAAAATTGTGTTGCTGTCAAGGACCTTTCCTAGAGAAAAACGAACGCATTTTTAAAAGGGTTGCCAAAAAAGTGCCGATTAATACCAACACTAAAAGAATAATAAACCTTACATCGCCAAGGTGAAATCCACATAACACGTGACAGTGTATTGTGACAGCACGCGTCACACGCCGTGTGACATCTCATCGTGTGGCTTTGGAACGTAAAGTTTTCATAACTGAATAAACATACTTGTGAAGACAAGCTCATGTGGGAGAGCGTTATGCTTGATTTTTCTTGTTCAGCGCTCAACCAAATTCATTGTTTCGTCTGTTTTTTTTTACCCTACCCCCCCCCACACACTATTACAGGTGACAGCTGCTGCAATCCGCTTAGTTTGGGAAGCGTTAAGAAGATGATAGAGCGAAAAATTCCCAACATCTACGTGCTTTCACTGAAGATTGGAGATAGTGTGTTGCAGGTACAACATCACTTACCATACTGTTTTTTTATTAATTGACTGTTTCGTAATTAGCATGCTACAAGGATTGTAATAATGCACAGAACATACATGAATAACAGTAATTATCAGCATATGTTTCATGATATATTAAAAATAATTGAGTGGCAATGATTACTTTAATGTTATATTCTTGGTTCTTTCGATAAAGTCACCTAGAAGGGAAACAATTTTCTTGCTGTGGTTTTCACACCTGATGATGATTTCTTGTGTTGCAGTCGAAACGTCGTGATAATTTTATTGTTTGATATTTTAATTATTTTTATGTTTCCCTTCTACGTGGCTTTACCGAAAGAACCAAGAATATGAATCCCTGCAGTCACGAAAGCTTTAAATAAAAATTTACTTTAATGTTGTTTAAATCATATTTACAGTTGAGCCATTTTTAAAGGACTGCATTCCCTAATGATTTTATTTATATCTAAATTACTTCAACATTGAATCTTGTTTTCTTGTAATAACAAATGAGAAACTAGTGTACCACTGGGGAAAATGATAGAACACCGCACAGGGAAAACAGCATGTGAAATGTAATTATAATGATTGGAAAATTACCACCAATTTATATATCACATATTTAGAAACATTTTACATTTGAAATCTACACCTCTACGAATAACACAGATTGTCCTATATTTCAGACCAAGGTATGGCAGTGCATTCATTTGCAATACTGTATGGGGTGGAGTGGGTGACCCATTGGTTAGGCCACAGCACTTTGAGCTCAGCCACTTGAGTTTCATTCCCAGCAATGGCTAACATCATTGGCGAGTGATATCAGAACCAGTTCTCAGCAGCTCTTCACCAACCCACACTGGCCAGCTTGATGAAATTTGGTCCAACAAACCCCATGACTAACAGCATGGAGAGGTTTTCAGCAGTGTATTGACAAAGGGTTGAAACGTATGTATGAGTTACAAGCAACAATGTCTTCCCATCTGAAGAATTAATAAAAAAATTGTAAGATACATTTACTATTGGACTGAAACCTTTATAAATGAGCTCTTACCCACGAAAATCACATTTACGGATGCTATGAAGTAGGAGTTAGGGTTATAAAAAATACTGTGAACTTTTATTTATCATCTCTGGCCATATTTTCTCATTGTGCAGGATGTGACCAATGGCTTCTTCATGAACGTGAATGATCAGGTGGACTTGGTTTGTCAGATGTTGCGCAAGGACCCTAACCTGCAGAACGGATACAATGCCATGGGCTTTTCCCAAGGAGGCCAGTTCCTGTAAGTGTTAAATAGAAAGTCTCAAAACAGGTCTTTTGATACGTGTTATCACCACCAACTTCCTCTTTCTCAAAATGGATGTTCTCACAGATAGAGGCGTGTAATAATCCATTGGGTGATTAAAATAGATGCTTAGGCTCACAACAGATGCATTAAATTACGAACGTTGTATGTAATTGGTTCGCGTGACTCTTGAAGTCACTCGAAGCACTGCATTGAACATCATAATGCGTTCTAAATCGTAAGGGTTGTGGGGTAAGGCAGTAATGCTTTGGCGTTTACATATTTCCACCCATTGCAGTATTTTGTGATCTGCACAACATTTTCCACTGATCTTCCTGTCCAAGGCATTCACAATGTAAAGAAAAACTATTTGATTCTTGGATTTAATCATTGCCCTGAATGGCAATAATTTATGACATCACAAGGGAGGCAAATCATTACATGCCTACTATATAATATGCTCTTCTGGTAGATTACTGATATGTGACACAGTCAATACTTTTTTTCCACTGTACAACTGAGCTCCATTAGGTCTGTGCGGCTCAGGAGGTGCCAGGTTTTTTCACTGATGGAGTACATTGTCGTGGTGATGCAGTACACTGGCCTTACAGTGTCCTAACAGTGTACTTCATAAGCACGACAGTGTACTGACTGATGTCGCATGCATGCAATGTGTCTTTAACCCTGCATGCTTGGCCCCAAGCCAGATTCAAATGTATCATGGGTCCTGCTTGGCACTGAAAATAGACAGTGGAAACCACCAATTTTTTTTTATTATATTGGTTTGCTCAGGAGAGCCTCCTTAAGCCTCAACTTGCGAAATCTTCACAGTAGGGGGCGACGATTACCATGCGTTTCATAATCAAGTAATTTTGTGAGTATTTTTTTCTTGGGCAAATTTTCTTTCATGATGCTGACACACAGTAGCCTACTTTTCTTCGAATGGCATCACGTGATCTTTAACGTCCACCATGGTTAATACACCCTCGGTACTAACCAGGACGGCCTGCCGGAATTGAATGCGAACCTCTGCAACCACGGTTCAACCTGCTACCACTGGGCCATGTCACCACTGCGAGAGGGCACGCTGGCTCGGCCCAGATGTGCGAGTGGATAAGGGGTACAAAGCTTCTCTTAAAAAAACACAGGAGCATGGGTTCACCGACAATTGCATTGAACTGATGGTTTGTGGTGTTGTTGTCTCTGCAGGAGGGCGGTCGCCCAGCGCTGCCCAGACCCTCCCATGCGGAATCTCATCTCAGTGGGAGGGCAGCATCAGGGTGCGTTATGTCATCAGCACTTCGTTGAATCTTCATCTCCATCTCTTTATCATAAACCAACGTTTGCCTTAATGTGCTAAGTTGTTGCCTAATACTGTGTAGCTTTTGCTTGCATATTTGTATTGAATGTATTTTCAATGCTGTTAATTTATTCTGCACTAATACAGTAATTTAAGAAAGACTAAAACTGCTTTCTGGAAATATACCTTTTTCATCTAAGTTTATTTTTACTACCCTATAGATGTAGGCTGTTCGATGTGAAATTAAAACAAATGTTGCGATCTTTAATTAGAGTATTTTAAAATCTCACTGGATATATTAAAGTAGAATTATAGGCTATAGTTCACTGCGGATTTTACATTCTTGAGAGATTAGAATGATTTGTGGTGCCTAATTAGGTACTTGAACTGTTGAAATGCAACACGATGTTCCACAGGAGTTTACGGATTTCCAAAGTGCCCTGGTGCAGAATACCACTTGTGCGACTACATAAGAAAGCTGCTCAACAAGGAAGCATACCAGCCGCAGATCCAGAAGATGTAGGGCACCTTTTGAAGTATTTAAAATATATTATGAAAAATGCATGTCTTAACATACAAAGTGAGAACTGGTTTACGTTCTTAAATGTGTGGCAATTCCATTTTACTGCATTGCAGTCGTTTAAGTCAAGATGATGAGATTGACGTTGGATATGATTACGCCTTGTTTTATAAGGGGGTGCTGCCATGGTATAACACAGCGGCATCTCGCCTTTTTGGCACCAGGGACCGGTTTCGTGGAAGACAAATTTTTTCACGGGGGGGGGGGGGGGAGGGGTTCATCATTGGGTCTTTCCCCATTTTCAAAGAAGCTCTCCAGCGACGTTTGTGTTTTACTCATTGTGGCTACTAGGGGTTAGCTTGTGGGCTTACCAACACTGTGACCGAGACAAGTGTGCAGTGCGCAGTGCGGGAAAGAGGCGCGGACGGAATTGGTAAATAAAATAATGGGCGGGTCACGCGCGGACTAAAATAAGTGTCGGATTCTGACTTCTCACAAGGAGCGCGCAACCTAGATCCCTCGCATGCGCAGTTTACAGTAGGGTTCGCGCTCCTATGAGTATCTAATGCTGCCCTGATCTGACAGGAGGGGGAGCTCGGACGGTAATGCAAGCGATGGGGAGCGGCTGTAAATACAGATGATGAAGCTTCGCTCGATCGCCCACCGCTCACCTCCTGCTGCTGTGCAGCCCGGTTCCTAACAGGTCACGGACCGGTACCAGTCCGCGGCCCGGGGGTTGGGGACCCCTGGTATAATGAATATGACACTGGACTTGCAATCCGTAGGTTGCTGGTCTGATCTCGGGGTTTCCCCACACCCCTCAATCCGCCACTATAAATGGGTACGCTGCAGTCTGGTGGGATAAAGTGTGGGTGCTCCCACCTCGTCCAAGATGTCCAGCCAGCATGGAAGAGTAGGCCAAATGCCCTCTAGAGGGGCTCTGCTAAGCCCCTCTCGTGGAGACCCTTCTGCCAGCAGTGGCATTCGCAAGAAATCGTAGGGCTCCATGTTTACGATTGACATTGTAAGGACAGACAAAATCATATGACGCTGTTTGCTAACAGTATGCTTTATTTTTTAATTCAGCCTGTCAAGACAAGAGCGCGAGTCACGATGGAACCACTTAAGATGATATTGAATGGGATGTTTTGTTTAATGTTAAATAGGATTGTCCAAGCTGAATACTGGCACGACTCGCTGAATGAAGAGCTGTACATTAACAACAGTGTGTTCCTGGCCGACATTAATCAGGAGAGGGTGAGATGCTGCTTCGGTGATATCACTGAGTATATATTTTTATGGCTTTCAATATTAATAGTCTTAGCTGTGTTAACCTTGAAGATATATGACCAAAAATTATAACTAATACACATTTACATGTAATATGATGTTAAATGTCTCGATACGGCTGGCAGAAAGCCAGTAATAGTTGAGTTATTTTATGTAAAATGTAATTGCGATACCACGTTGGCAGTGGTCCATAAGCACGCAAAAGACTCCTGCTATGTAGAAGGGCCTTTGCCCGAAACATAATCCATTATACATAATTTGCTATTAGTCGGTGTTATTGATAATTGTAAGTTTTAGTTATTATATATGTAGGCAAAGTTTTGGAATCCATGCTACACTTTTGGATTTGTAAAACAATGTTGCAACAAGCATTTAATGTTGTGGTCAGCAGTTAATTTCCCTTGTTTGTGATTTCCATTTTTCACAGGTTGTCAACCCATCGTACCGTGAAAACTTGAAGAAACTTAACAAGTTTGTGATGGTTATGTTTAACCAGGATCAAATGGTCGAACCAAAAGAGTCAGAGGTAAAAAATATATATTCAAAAAACTAATTACCAAACCTAAATATGTTTTAATTACACGAGATACTTAACAAAATAATATATATATACAGTATAGGGTGATCCAATTAATATAGCTATAACCCACTGATTTCTAATGACCCTCGTACGGGTAGATTGTAATGCCATATTAATACTGTTCTATTGAATCTTAATAAACAAATACATTCTGCAATTATTGCAACTGTGGAGACATCTCTCGCGAATAATATTTCAGTCAAATCACAATCGTTGTGCTCGGATTTCCCCCTGCCTCTGTTAGTGGTTTGGCTTCTACAAGCCTGGACAGGCGGTAGAAATCTACAAGCTGCAGGACAGCGCCCTCTACACAGAGGTAAGTTTGCACAGCATAGCATTACCGGTATAAAATGTGTAGAAATGTGTTGCATTGGATCACGTTGCGGATTTAACCTTGCATACTTTATATGATCCGTTTAGAGTACATTGGGACTCATTATGCCCTTTGCAAAGCACAGCTGCATTATCCTGCATTTACGTCAGGAGTTTTTATTTTGTGGGTTATTTAATAACCCGTGGTCTGTGTGCAGCGACTGGCAATAGAGGCCCCCACTTGTGCATGATCAGCATGCGGGCAAAGGAGCTAAAGCATCGGTTTAGTGGAAAGTACACTCTTCGTTGTGCGGTTTGGCGCATTGATTCATAATAAATTCCAAAGTATCGTTTTAATGACTCGAAGGTGAAATTCGTGAGCATAGTTGTAACGGAGCAACACAGTCTGAGAGACACAATGCACTCCGAAACTGTACAAGGTGCATTGTATGCTTCATAATATCCATCGTCTGTCATATGAGGTTAGGCTAATTTGACTACATATATTGTAACTAATGACTATGAGGTTTCGAGCAGTTTAAAATGTGCCCAAGATAACTGGAACAGACTGGAACACTTCGATTTAAAGCTTTCGTGACTGCAAGGATTCATCTTCTTTGGTTATTTCGGTAAAGTCACGTAGAATGAGAATAAAATAATAAATTTATAAACTAAAATAACACAATAAAATTCTCACGACGTTTCGGCCACAACACAAGCGGCCTTCAGGTGAAGGGCCTGATGAAGGCCACTTGTGTTGTGGCCGAAACGTCGTGAGAATTTTATTGTGTTATTTTAGTTTATCAATTTATTATTTTATTCTCATTCTACGTGACTTTACCGAAAGAACCAAAGAAGACTGGAACACCTTTGAGATGCGAGCTTTTCATTTTAAACATGAACATAATCAATTGCAGAGGAGTAAAAATGACTGCAGTATCCGTGCGTTTTATACTTAGACTTGATGGATTTAAATAAGGCAAAAGTGACTTTTACACATGAAAATGCTGGGGTTGCTTGCAGGATCGCTTGGGGCTCAAGGAGATGGACCAGGCTGGGAAGCTCGTGTTTCTGTCATCTGACACGGACCATCTGCAATTCACTGACGAGTGGTTTGATGAAAATATATTGTCCTACCTGAAATGAAGATGGGACAAATGTGATGCAGGGGTGTGAATATTTTTCTGAGAATGTAAAATTGCGGTAGGCTGGTGGGTTTTTTTTTGATTAAAAAGGTTTTTTTTGTTATTTTAATTGCTTATAATAAAACATGTCAGTTGGGTAGTTGTAAGTATTTTTCATGCTATACACTTACGTGGTGTGTTGTGGGGGTACCGTTCACACTTTTGACATCTATGGAGCAAGTAAACAAGCCAATCTTTAAATGGTAATTACGCACTTTATAATACCATATTGCTTTATTCTGCTCATATACATTAATATGATCAACAATTTTTGACAAACATTGTATGACAATGTTCTGCTTAACGTCGGTAAAGCTTCAGATGTATAAAATAACAGCAGGTATGTTTAAATTTACACCGATATAGAATGCATTACATATTGAAAATACCGTGTTAACATTTAATAGCTGCGTTCATAATACATAATATATCCAAACTTACTGTAATAGATTGACGAAAAGGTAGTTTTTAGTCAGGTATCAGTCTATGCATCCAGTAGAGTTACACAATTTAAAAAGGCAAAGGGGCAGGTCTGCAGTTAGTTGCCCACGCCACTGCTGGTGGAAGGGCCTTGCAGTATCTTAATTTAAAACTTAGTATTTACCCATGTAGAGCAAATGGCAGCATTATCTTGCAATGATTTCCCATGCATAGCTCGAGCAACACTTGACAATAAAATGTTCACATAAAATTTTGTTGGAACATATTTTTTGCGTGTTTTGATCATGCATGACTACCACCAAGCCACCCCTTATGGAATTATTTAAAAAATAAGTTATTTTGCAAATGCAACGTTTTGTTGAGACAAAGCTTCCGTGGTATAACCGCATCGGGGGTTTCACACATTCCAATAAAAAGCAGAAATTTTTTTCACAAATTTCCGTTTTTTCATGCGTAAGATGACATGTGCGTCCTTTTAAAATAAGCTTGTATATACATGCTGATATACAAGCCACCGGCGTAGATTCTGTAAAAAAAACCCTGAAATTAATGTGTTAATTACAAGTTCATGTTTATGTAAATGCTACTCTATCATAACAATCACCAGTCATTTAACATTTAAGGTGAGCTTACAACAGATACACTCAAAGCAGTTTGTGAACGGTGATTTGATATCGCTAAGAAGACACCACCAGATGTTAACGTTCCAATTACTGTTCAACTGAAAATATGCCGAGAGGCTTGTGAGCTGAATGGAAGGCGTAATTTTCTGTTTTAATTCACACCGTGTCAACCAACGTCGCAGGAAATCACGAGTTGCGTGACGCCAAGAAAGCTGTCATTGGCCGCCCTTTATTTTACAACCGTAGTTGAAATTCCAGTTTTCGATCAATAGATGGCACGACAATACCAGCACCTATGCTGACGTTCTCTACTTATGTGTTTTTGCAAAGGCAGGATTGTGGTGGGAAATGGTGGTGGCTTGGGCAGGCTTTCATCCAGCAGTGGATTGACCATGGCTGATGATGATAATTATACAGTATATTAAAACTAGAGTACTTGTACACGTTTCCAACCAAAGAAAATACGTTATATTAGTACTGTAATGTAAGCTAACTAGCCAATTGTGTGGCATTCTGGTTTAGAATCCCCTTTTGGTATTAAATGAAAACGGATGGACATTGTTTAACTACATCACTAGAACATGTACAGAGGAATCAAATATTTGGGGGTTAAGGTAATTTTATGCATATAAAAAATAAATTCTCTACACAGCACTGTCAATCCACTGTTGGATGAAGGTCTCCCCATACCGTGTTGGTCATGGGGATCACTGCAACGATCCTCCTATAAATACAAATGTTTTAGTTGAACAAGAAGAGGACGTGTTTTTTTGAACATGGTACTTGATGCGCGAAATTATGTAAATTGGAGACAATTGTTTAGATTGAATCCATAATGGCATGCAAGTCAAGGCAATTTAAACAATAACATGTGTTTGCGGTTTTTTTATTAATGCGTTTCATCTGCTATAACATGGATGATTGGAAAACATGGATGTAACAAGAAAGATTAAACAAAAACTTTAGAAAAGTACAAAAATGAGCACGGAGATACGCACGCTAGGAATTACACCGAGAAACAGAAAGAGGAACACGTGGCTAATGAAAAACGTATACAGGTTAATGGCATTGACTAAAGTAGAACAAATGGGCTTGGGCAGGACACGTCGCTAGAAGGGATGATGGCCAATTGTCAAGCACAACGACGGAGTGACAGCTAAGGAATGGAACGCGTCCAAGAGGATGTACAGAGGAGGTACAGTGACGAAATCTGCTTGTCTGCAAGCGCTTAGTGGAGTGATCCATCGCAGGAATGTGGGAGATAGGGGTGGCTTGTGGAGGCCCTCATCCAGCAGCGGATTGACCAAGGTCGATGATAAAAGGGAATTTTGGTAATGAATGGTACATTTCAGGCTTCTGCAGATTTGACTATCCGTGTCATCAATTTCAGTGTAAGAGCTCCTTGTGGTGCATCAACCTGTGCACTGCTCTAAAGATTCCTCCATGAATGTGATTAATATTCAACAGGCACTGATATTCTCTTCAAAGAATGAGCCTTCAGCTACCCAGCTTAAAATTATAATTACAATGATACCTCACAAGGCCTGTATTCACATGCAAATAACAATGGTGTTGTCATTAAATTGTGTATATTAACATTTCCATACGAGTTACCTGTTGCCTTCGTATGCAATTGTAACATGTAGATAATATGGTGATAAAGTTTTAACTGTTTGTTAATGTGCCCAAAATGATGATTAATTGTTACTCTTCAGTTAAACATTTAGATAATGCTGTAATTTAATGTTTGCCTCTTGTTGATAGTCTTACCGGGTGTGAGCATACTGTTTCTTACATATGTTACCATACACTGTAAAAAAGAACTTATTCAGCTACTTAAAAACTTGTCCAGCACTTTCTACGTGTAAATAATGTCTTTTTTGTCAAGGAATTTTGAATAGAGACGTAATTTCTCATCTAAAGAAATCGTTAGCTGTTTTTCTGGTTTAGCTTGTAAGCAGAGCTTGAATTTCTAATCTTTTCACATCTCCCTACTTCGATTAAGTTTGTTGTCACCAAAGTGATCTAAAAGTCCATGCCATTCAAGCTCTCTGTTGGTTGGTAATATGAGGGGCAGTGATAAGCTAAGGTCAAAAACAGCACGAAAGTTAAATGCCCAATAAAGCACGCGCGGAGCGTGTGGTCACGGTACAAAATGCATTGACATTGGTGACGACTTTTTAAGGTTGTTTCCTACACGTGGGTGAATTTTATTTAACTCCTTAAATTCCCGCTTTGAAACAGTTATCCGTTCCAATCCACGGTAATGTAGAATTCACACTGATATAGTTGCATGCTTCAAAATTCAGTTGTGAATTGTGAGTTGTTACTCAAACCATTAGTTTACACGTTGGTGAGGTTAATTATTTGGACCGATTTCACCATGGTGGAACGTCCGTTTTTAAATAGCAATTGCTCTTAGGCTTTACCCCTTCTGGATATAAACGCAGGTGTTAATTTGTTCAATCACCAAATAGACACCAATTGCAAAGCATCACGTCTGCATTAACCACACGTACTTGCGATAAAGCATGCAAACAAAACATGCTCTGATAATATATGCATTTTCTTTGAAACGGATTGGCCTACACCAGAGAGAGCCTTGTTCTTTAAGGCCTCGTCTCGCCAGTGTTCGACCAGTTAACGCCTAAAGGCGATCAGTACAAAGGCAACGCAAATATCATAGCATTCGCAGCATGGGTTGCGCAGTTATATCTATGGGACCTTATTGTGCAGCATTCAAAATGATGAAAAAGAATATGTTTTACCCTTTCTGCCAATGACACAAGTCTTAAGGTGTTCAAATACAAAATAGACGCACCTATTGCAAGGCATCAAGTCTGCATTAACCACACATACTTGTGGCAAAACCATAAAAAACAAACACGCTTTGATAATGTATGTTTGCATGTTTTGCCACAAGTATGTGTGGTTGATGCAGCCTTGATGCCTTGCAAAATAGGTGTCAAGTTGGTGTCATTGACAGAAAGGGTAAATCCTGTTCTTTTCCCATCATTTTGATGCTGGCAAAAAAATCCCATAGATATGGCATTTGTTATTGTTGTTAGTGTAAGAATGTAGATCCGTGCAGCACAAACAAACCTGCCTCCCGTTTTCTCTTGGAACCACAGGTGCCATATCTGACACGCTGGGGACTGAGATGTAATCGGCGGATATGTTAAAAGGTCAGATATGTGAATGTCTATAGAAAATGACGATTACAGTTGAGTGTGGACAGTGAATTGGCCAAGGTGTGCATACGTGGCACTCAGATGTGCGATGTACTTTTCAGTAAAATGTTGCTGGTCATTGTTTTAAACGAGGTGGGCAAAGTTGGCTTTGTTGCATTACTGCATTTACAATAATAAAATACTGAGTTGCATAACTCGGTATTTTCACACATGTTACGTTCGTATTGTGAGTAATAATGCAACTCAATGCCCTGGTGGGAGCACGGTCATTAAAAAAAGCAATAACACGGTAATAGCTGACCCTGAGGACTGAACATGCTCTTGAAAGCTTGAAGGCAAACAAAAAAAAGTTATTTTTCTGCATCATTTGTCAAGTCATCTAGGGTTTCCCGTGAGTAATATACTCTCATGAAGTTGTTGACAATTGTATAATATGACTTTATATTCTTTATGGGGCAATTCAATAACGTAGGAATCACAAAAACCACAAGAGCAATGCATTCTGTATGGGTTGACCAATTTCTGCTCCGTTAAAAATGATGTGTTGAGATGAGAAAATATTTCCAACAGCAGGATGGGTGGCTATGAGCCCGTGTATTGAAGTAATTTACAAAATAGCATCATGGCATTGCGCCTGAGTTGCTATATCGCTTATTATTTTTTTTCAGTGACAGAATCTGTTGAACAGCAGTAATATGCACGGCGTGTGAATGCTTCCGCAGACTGCCAACTTTTCCCATTTGAAGGGAAGATTATCTCTTCTGTTTCACACTGGCCAGTTGCGTTGACATAGACGTAGGCGCCCACACATTACCCTTCCATAACCAATCACGCAACTGACAATAGAGTGGATCCATATTTACTGCTGGTTTAGCAATGGCAATGTCAGCTTGAAAACCTTGCCAAGAAGCTTTCAAGGAGAAATACATTTCTGGGCTGAGTCCAGCATGCTGTGGCCAATCTAGCATGGCAGCTGCTAATATATACATAGTGCAAACATTGTTAGATTTCACTGTTGAGGTGTTACAATTTTCACGTCTCTTCGAGGGCCATAATGTGCATAAATACCCACCAGTTTCCCCACCCCTGTGTTAAGCTTAACACACATTTGGCTGTTTGTCTTAACACATTCCGAGGGCCCACGTGCACCACTAAAGGAATGGCATCTGCTCCAGAATGCTGTCTAGCAACGAGAAGCCTGATTCATGTGCGATGAAAAGGAGGAGAATTGCCCGAAACGTCAACTCTTACATGTTTTTTTAAGGCCACAGTGTTGCTGACGAACGTGTTGGGTACTTTTATATTCGCCGATTTTGCACTACCGTCAATGCAGCATCACAAAATAATTAGTTTAGTTACGGTTAACACTGCCCGTTGAAGTTTAAATATAGTTTGATTTTAAAACGTTCCCATTGAAATAACTGCCGTTGATTATTTTGGTTGAGTTGCCAATGAAGTATACGTTATTTTTTCCGATTAAAAAAATGTTTTCGTGACATGTTGACTTTAGTGGCGATTGAAACCAATATCAACACAATCATCAATGTATTATATGTACAGTAACAGATAAATGCAGAGGGAGCTTCGATATACTCATACCATGTCTAGGGTCACCACGGTGGCGAGATGTTAACTACCTCGCCTGGTATACAGGAGGGCATGGGTTCGATCCCGACCCTGACGCCTGTACATTTGGAGTCTGCATGTTCTCCCTGTGGTCGCGTGGATTTTTCTCCTGGTCCTCCGGTTTTTCCCTCCACATTTATAAACATGCGTTTAGAGTCCATCATAGAGGTTTGGTCGTGAAAGGCTACGTGTTAAATGCGTTTAGAGTATTTGGCTGCTCTAAATTTCCACATGATCAGCCACTTCGTTGAGCTATCATTTGTGGCTAGGTCGCTGGTCAGTGGGCCTGGTAAAATAAAAAAAAGTTTCTAGATTTGAAGCTTTCGTGACTGGAAGGATCTATACTCTTTGGTTCTACAGTATTCGGTAAAGTTACCTACGTGACTTTACCGAATAGAACCAAAGAGTATAAAAAAAGTTTCGTAGTTTATTTATTTTTTGTAAAATAACAAGTTATCTTAACATTAAAATGCCTACCCCACATATGTCCAATATATGCATACTTAACAATTACACATTTAAAGATTAATTACTTAATTGATTAAATTAGATTATGCTCAATACATTCGTGTAAGAATCAATATTTGTTGTATGTTTTGAATTTGACCAGACACTATAACTCCTAAAGGGTTTTCACCCACGACCCCCCTGCCCCCCCCCCTCCACAATAGTAAACAAATGTTCAGTACTTTAATTGATTTGTGACCCGAGTCACATTCATTCTTCACATCGCTGTAATGGGATGGGGGAGGGGGGCATGCCTAAGATGCATACGTACATGCGGATTAAACAAATAAAAATTATCCTGTATTCGGAGGCATATCTCTCTTTTGCAATGAAATTAAAACTTCAGCAAGCGATAAAACAAATCTAGAATAAATGCGCGTCACACATTCATTGACAATTTTTTTTTCATATTTATGCAAAATACGGCTGCATATTTTCTCATGTGCATGAATAAGAGTTTTTTTTGTCACTGAAAACGTTGCTTATTCAGCGATGGTACATCATAAAATGAGCAGTTTCTCACTGTGCCTCAGTGTTTTATACATCTTCCACGAGCTCGCAACAGTAGCAAAGCCATGCAAAATATATAAACGTAAAGCTACACACGCTCCAGCCTGGTATATCCGCAAACCTGGCTTTGTGCTAGTTCATCTTTAAGACACTAATGTTTCAACGGCAACAGCAGAATCCTATATCCTGACTTTAGCCACGACTAAAATGGCTCTTCCTGAGGCTAAATGTCTTGTGTATGGGTTGCTGCACCACAATCAGAAACCCTTTTCTCCCCTCAGCCATTCCAACGGAGAGCACAGAAGCTTTTAGCCACGATGCATCACAGTTCGGGGCATTATCCTAACCATTTTTTTCCCTTCCTCGCCCTGTGGGGTCTTCACAAGATGGCAAGATTTACAATGGGGCCTGTGCTGTCCTGCCAGGGGGACATTCACATCGTCCTTTAGAAAAATGCTAAACCTGTGTGAAATGTCATTTATCAATGTTGTGCAACAATGAACCAGTCTTACTCCTGGGCCAAAACAATAAAATACCAAACCATTAAACGAGTTGTCGTTTTTGTCTTTATGTCTACGATGATGCTGCCCTCATGAAATGGTTAGAACACTGGACTTGCAACCCAGCGTATCCTAGTTCGATCTCGTGGCATGGCAGTTGAAATTGGCAATTGTCTTAAATTCTCCCCACTCCCACTCCATCCAATAAGCAGCATCATGGATACGCCACAATTCGTCTATTCTCAGGTCGCGTATGGTGGGATAAAATGTGGGTAACTCCCACCCATTCCAAGACGTCGAGAGGAGCTCCGTCAATCCCCATTTAGAGGGAGCCTTTGCACCAACGGAGCAAGCAATTGCACCTTTTTACCTTTTTAGATCTGCCAGATGCTATGGTATTTGGATCAGGGACATTTTTTTTTTACTTACAGCCTAGCATCATTAGATTTCAGGCTTTCAAATAATATATAGACCCTTTGAAACTGTATAGGTTAGGCTTATACAAATGTTTTACTGAA